TATATATATATAGGTCCTATTTATATATGCATAAATCTTCTGTGTCATAATATATATAGGTCCTATTTATATATGTATAAATCTTCTGTGTCACAATATATATAGGTCCTATTTATATATGTATAAATCTTCTGTGTCATGTCTTCTTTTCAAATACTCTTGAATATCAAGCTCGTTTTAATTATGTGCAACAGCATTTCTAACTATTTCACACAACGTTAAAAGTTAAAAGATTCTCAATTTCGGTGGAAACTGGTGTATCTTGGCTATGCATGCCTAGATCGACAAGGTCTACAGTATCTCACTGTCGACAGTCCCCATATACCAAAATAAAAAGTATTTCAATATTGAAATTAACAGTTTAAATGTCTAAAGCTGAGATGTTAAAGCATCAGAATCTAATAGGCCTAACTTTTGTGTTCATCATGAACACTTTAATGGGAATGCAGGAAAAAAACATGCAATTGACATGATTTCTATTTTATTATTACTTCCAACGAGTAACCACTTGGGCACAGTATTTCCAACCATGCTGCCAGATGTTGCAAGTCTAGCCAGCTGGTCCATATTTAAATTGCTTTGACAATCAATTAAATTAGTTGAAACTTAAGTTTCCTTATCAACATTTTATAATACTTAGCCTGGGTATACCATGCAGTACAAAAGGGACTGCAAAAGCTGGCATAGCACCAGTAGTGAAACAATCTTGTTAGTAACCAACAGAGTAGCATTCTGTACTCAGAATTTTCCAATATAAATATTCAAAAGTAAAAATCTGAGAATATTCCTCCTGAAATATGTACTAGCAATGTTTTTAGTGCCTTCTAACTGCAGCACTAATCAGCAATTTGTTAGTTTTGATTTGGAACACTGTCGTGTTTGACAGTAACAAAGACATAAGTATGATATTTCAAAATGACATATTTAATGTTTTACACTCACAAATATAAACCTATCATTCTATAGGTATTTGAAGAACTTGTAGCATTCCGGCACAATATAATTCTTCGTATAGCTAGCCGACACTGGGCAGCTGGTACATAATTGAATAGTTGTTCAAACATTTGTTTAACAACAAGTAAAAGCTTGGAATGGTCTATTCTTTCATTGGGGGTGTGTCTGTGAGCCAAACTAGTTTTCGGAGAATTCCACTCCTCATCAGTGAC